GAGCCAGCCGCCGACACCCACCCCCGCGCCCCGGCCACCCCTGCCTGCTAAGAGCGCGGCAGTCCTGCAGCTGCAGCACGCCAGGGGCCGGGACTACCGGGACAACTCTGAGCTCCCTCACCATGGCAAGCACCGGCCGGAGGAGGGGCTACTGAGCAGGACGGCCATGCAGGTGAGCCCAGCCCGAGTGCATGTGTGCGTGTGTGAAAGTGTGTACCCATACACATCCTATGAGGAAAAGCTGGAAGGAGGCAGGATTTGAACCCAGGCCCACCTGTGCCTAAGTCCCAGCCCCACCACGTGAGGCCCCAGGGAGCAAGGTGCAATGAAGAAAAGGAGCCTGGCCTTGAACTCTCTGCTGCCCAGACTCAGCCATTCTTCCTCAGCTGCCCAGAGCTGGGATTATAGGCAGTGGCTCTTACCTCATCCTCCTGCCTCATCCTCCCAAGAACTGGATTACAAGCCTGAACCACCCTGGCTGTATATAATATTTAGTATATTATATAGTCATATCATTAACTGCATATAATTCATGTTTATTAGAATAAGGGGCCTGATCAAAGATATGGTGAATGTTGGGGCCAGGGGATTTCGCACAGTGGTGCCACACCTAGCTTGCCAAATGCAAGATCTTGAGTTCGGTCCCTGGTTACCCTCCCCCAAAATGGTGAATTTTAAAAAATGAAATTATTACACTAAAAGACACATCGCCATTAACGTCCCACAAAATATGGCCCCTTGCTTTGAACAAGTGACTTTGTGAGATGTGATCAGAAATATGGTGAATGCCGCTCCACCTGCCATCCAGCAGAAAGGCAGCTCATGAAACACAACACTGTGTCCTCATCCACCTCACTCGCTGGATCTGGCACCGTGTGACTCCTGGCTCTTCCCCAAAGTCTGAATAGCCATGAAAGGGAAATGTTTTAAATCAGTTCAGGACATTGAGGCAGCCAGGTGAGAGCAACTAAAGACACTCAGGAAAGAGGGCTCCAGAGCTGCCTCAGGAAGGTGGTGACAACGAGGATCCAAGTGTGTCTGAAGCAAAAGGGAGAGTTTTGAGGAGGATGAGTAGTGCTGTCTTTCACTGTCGTCAAGCGTTCATCTAGTTTTCGATCCCGCCGCATGTCTGAAGGGGCTCAGAGAGAGTGTGCAGGCTCTCTCCACGCCGCAGGAGGCCGGCAGGGTCCCTGGGCACCCGGTCAGGTGCGTCTCTGACAGCCGTCCGTTTCTCATCCAGCAGTGACGCCCTTGGTGAGCAGCCGGTGACAGGAGCCGGAGGAACAGCAGGAGCCTCGGAAGCCTCCCCCACGACCTCCTTCCTTGCTTCCTGTGCAAAGCTTTGTATTTTGGGGGGGACGGCCTCGCTTCTGGGTGGCCCGCCCAGTGCGGTGGCTGTGCCCTCGGCGGCCGGTGCTGTGTGGGAAGATGCACACCGGAGGGCAGCTGCACCCCTGGGTCCCCAGTGCGGCCTTGGTACTTGGGACCCCGAGGCCTCGTTCCAGTCCTCATTTTGAAGAGGACTGGAGTGCCAACTTGGGAGTGGAGATATAAGTAATAATAATACTGTTAATAATAATAGTGGCCACATGGGCGGAGGAGTAGGCCCGCACGCGCCACGTGCACACTAAGTGCTTTAGGGACATTGTGTGGGAGGACAGCCGAGGCTCCCGGGGAGCAGAGGCTCCCAGCCCCTCCCCCCACATCCCGAGGGTTGAGCAGCAAAGCATTAAGCAGGCTGGGGCCACCGTGAGCAGGATGGTGTTGTCTGTGGGGACAGGGAGGGTGAAGGTGATTTGGGCAGGGGAGCCAGGGCTCTCTAAGCAGAAGTCCCGCCTCAGCCCGGGGTCAGGGCGTCCACATCCCTGCCGGGTCTGCACGCCCGGATCCCACACATACACTGCTCGGGGCAGGCAGCCCCACCAGACCCTGCCACCCACGGGCCAGGCTGGATCTTTGGGTCTCAGGCCCCCTGTCTTTCAGCCCTGTGTCCTTGGTTCCTAGGAGAATAGATTGATTGTTGGTGTCTCTTCTCGTGTTGCTTTTGACCCAGAGCGTGTGAGAGCGAGAAGAGCGAGCACGCACGCCCGCTGCCCTGTCTGTGTGACCAATAAACTGTGCCTTTCTCACTCGGCTCTGGCTTTTTCCCCCTGAAACTGGGAGCCCCAGGCATATTTCTAGGCTGCAGAGTCGCCCCTGGGGGAGGGAAGCTGTTGGGGACTCCGGACGATGGGATCCCATGGTACAGGGTCTGAGGGATGAGGGTAGGTGTCACTCCCTCCATACGGGCACCCTGCGGCCACTCAGTGTGCACAAGTGTCCACCTGCTGTCCTGCAGTGACCACGTTCCTCCTGGCTTTTGTAAGTGTCTGTTGAACCAGGTGCGCGTCTGTAATTCCAACTCTCAGGAGGCTGAGGAAGGAGGGACCCCACCAGTTTGAGGCCAGCCTGGACTACGTAGTGAAATCCTGTCTCAGGAAAACAAAATTAGCATGGATTGATCGAGCTCTAGAGAATCATTACGCACTGACACCTGTCCGGGGCCAGGCTCAGAAGTCAGGGAGCCCAATTCCAGGACTGCCTGCCACCACCTTCAGGGTGCTATGGCCTGGCACTGCCATTCTTGCCTCCTTGGGCTGCTCAGTGACAGCCACAGTGGCGTGTGGCGGTCAGGGCAGGGCTGAGCCCGCCGGAAGCTTGGCTTTTCATCCAAGCAGGTGGAAGCCGCCCCTGCAGGCCAGTGTCCTGATCCCACAGCAGTGAGACCCGAAAGAACAAGGGCCGGGTGGAAGGGAGGTGGAGACACCCAGATCGGGGTGCCAATGCCTGTGGCCCTTGGGACGCCTTTACTTCCCGGCTGCCACCCGCAGGGACAGCAAAGAGCTCAGGTCCTGCCTGCCGCCCTGGCAAGTCCCCCGTAGGAGCGAGCGGAAGGTAGCAGCATGGACTATGCCTGTTGTTCCCTGTCACCCTCGCTCTCAGCTTTCACTCCACCAGAGCGGGCACAGCGCCCTTGTCCCTCGGTCCCCTCCGTCCCACACAGGCTGTGTGAGACAGGGCTGTGCATGGGCAACCGGGGTCCCATGATGCCCACAGCTGGAAACACCACCAAGGAGACTGTTCAGTTCCCTCTGGTCCTCTGCACCTGCCCCAGGGCCCTCAGCAGCCTCCCCAGGTCCTGGCCCACGCTCGCCCTCTCCAGCCCGCCCTAGCCTGCTCCTCTCCTGACCACGCTGGGTCCTCCACACACACAGGGGAATCAGCCATGGCTGCCTCCTGATCACCGACTTTCCCCCCAGGGCTGCCCAGCCCCCAAGATAAATCCATTGCCCACCCTCTCCAGCACTGCAGCCACGGCCGTGTCTAGGAAGCAGATGCTTCCCCATTTGTATGACGACACTAAAGCTGGTTTTTCCACACGGGACTGTGCTGCTGTCATGGGGTTGCTCTCTGATGACAGTGCGCAGCAGCTCCACACCATGCCACGCGGCTGGAGGGTGGCTGCTGCCACTCCACACCCCCAAGGGACAGAGCAGCCATGCCAGCTCCCCCCCACCCCAGTTCCCACTGCTTTTTTGTGCATTTTCCCCCCACTTGACAGGAGGGAAATGGGTGAGTCATTCAGAAAAGCTCTCTCCCACCGCTACCTTCCCTAACCCCAGCCAACCGGGTTCTGTCTTCAGATGGCCCTAAAATAGCTCCTTTCTCTCCGCGAGCGAATTTCCATGGAGACCCAGCAATGGAGAGGCCCAGAAGCTTTCTGCACAGCAGCCAGCTCAGCTCCTGGCCTCCCCTCCAACAGGGAGCCCCTTTGTGGTGCAAATGGCCGTCCCTCCACCACAGACACCCCACTTGGGGAACTCTGCTGTGTGGTCAGGCACGTGGAGTCCAGGTGGAGACAAGTGACATCTTTATTGTGATCTGGCCCATGCTGCTCTGTGCTCAAGCCAGACTCGACCTGGTGTCCGCGCCTTGAGCCTCCACAACCCGATCAGCCACAATCGCGTTCGCAGTGTCTGTGGGGCCAGCGGAGGCCATGAGGCAGGGGTTGTTTGTGGCTCTAAATCAGAATGAAGGTGACTTTCTTGTCCTTAATCTTTTGCAGGTCACTCCGTCTTTTAGAGCCTGTCTTCTTTTCTTTCTTTTCTTTTTCTTTTTTTTCTTTTTGAGACAAGGGCTTTGCCATGTAGCCTGGGCTGGACTCACAGGGATCCCTCCACCTCAGGCACACGGAGCGCTGGGATTGCTGCTGAGCGCCACCGCCCCAGCTTCTGAGCCTCAGTCTTCTTCCTAGTCCGTAAAGTGGAAGTGGAGACCTACTGAGTGGTCCTGCTGGTTTGGGGAACTCCTGTCTGCAAAGCCAAGCTCTCACAGGGTTCCGGGAGAGCAACCCCTCTCCCCTCCCAGAGAACCAGGTAGCCCGAGCTTGCTGCAGATATCCTAAGAGGTGCCTGGGACTCCAGGAATGTCCTTGCCCTGAGGGGCCCTGCCTCTGAGGTGTGGGAGGAGCATGACCCGTCAACTCACCAGAAACCCAGGCGTCCAGGCGCTTCGGAAAACTTTGCCAAAGGGAGCGTTTCTTGGGGCCAGGGAATGGAGGAAGCCATTACAATTAGTTGAAGCCATATGGGTTGGCCGAGGTCACCCTTGTAGGCTGAGGACTAGTTGAGGCTGGGGCACTAGTTAAGGCCAGAAAGACTAATTGAGGTCAGGCGCACTCAGTGGTTTCTCTAGCTGCACAGCTGATCAGCTGACCTGGGGTCAGTGGAGGGAGGGAGGGAGGGAGGGAGGTCCCTGCAGGCACCAGCTGCACCTCACAGGGTGGTCACAGGCCTCTGGGACACGTTGGCAGATCCGGTCACCATGCCGCAGCTTGTGCCCCCGGAGTGTCCACCATCCACCTGTTCTGGGTAAGACTTAGCTTCTGCTTCTCCTCACTTTGGTCACCAAGCCGAGGAAACAGACAGCCAAAGGGGCCCTGGAGCTAACAGTGACTGGCCCACTCCTGCGCCAGCATGGTCAGTCGTGGGGAGAGGCAGGTGAGGTGCTGGGGGTTCAAAAGTGAACAGGCAGCAGGGTGTGGTGACGCACCCCTGGACCCTCAGCTACTGAGGAGGCTGAGGCAGGAGGAGCTACATTCCCAGTGACCCTGGCTTCCAGAAGAGGCAAAAATCCAGGCTGTTGACCAAAGACTGCCACGAATTTCCTTTGGGGTAGCTGAGCAAACATATTACAACTTAGTTGTTTAGTATTCAGGACATTGATTACCACGGACAGGAAGATGCTGGAGTCTGGGGTCCAGCGGCTTCGGTTCAGCCCCAAGCCTTACTGCTGACTGGCAGTATGGCCGCGTTGCCTCAGTGTCTCCATCTGTAAGAAGGAGATAATGATGACACTGTGAAATATGAGTTACAGGAAGCTCCCGACGAGGTCCCAGCGGAACAAACTGAACAGTGGAGTTTGCTCACACAGAGTTTCCAGGACTACAAACTAAAGACTATGCTGTCTGACTCCAAGAAATCAGGAAAGATGGCTGGGCATGGCAGTGCATGTCTGTAATCCCAGCAGCCTGGGAGGCTGAGGCAGGAGGACCCCAACTTCAAGCCTACCCTGGGCAACATAGTGACTTAGTGAGACTCAAAAATAAAAATTAAAAGGGCTGGGGATGTGGTTCAGTGTGGAGCCCCTAGGTTCAGTTCCCAGTACTACGACAAGAGAGAAAAAAAGAAATCAGGAGACAGATAACAGCCACGTATCCTAGACTACTCATTGTAGCCCTGCTGTAATCCTCACAAAAAGGTAACCTGACTTTAACAAATCCGTTATTTTTCTATTGCTGTCTCCCTATCCACACTGTGATTGGAAAGTAACTTTGAAATGTCCAATTGTCTTTTTGCTCTTTGTTTCTGATTTCTTCAGCCTTCTCCAACGTTGAAGCCCACCTCCCACCTCAGCCCCACAGGGCTCTCCTGAGTTATGTGGCCGGATTCTGCTGGATTCCAGAGTCACAAAATAAAGATGATGAAGATCTTCCCACTAGATTGCTGGGACAGCCCTAACCACCTTAGAAGGATTAAAAGACCTACTAATGTAATCTCAGCACTCTGGGAGGCTGAGGCAGGAGGATGGCAGGGTCCAGCCCAGCCTGGGCAACTTTGGGAGACTGTCTCAAAAGAAAAAAAAGGGAGTGGCTAGGGAATGTAGCTCCGTGCAAAGGCCCTGATGCAAACAAGCAACCGAACCAAGTAACCAAATAACCGTGCTAAGGAACCCTGGTGCACACCTAAACCCTCAAAAGCACCCATTGTCAACTGTGTGAAACTCTGAGAAATGAGGTTAGCTCTCACCTAACTTCACGTCCCGCCCTGGTTTAGGTACGCTGCTCCTGAGCCTTCCCCAGGGACTCCTTGCAGCATGACTGCATGGCCTTGGCCAGGTCTGCCCTGCAGGCACAGCTGCGGCTGGGCCAGCGGCAGCAGCAGCACCAGAGAGGGCTGCGACATCCCGCCCCCCTCAACATTGCCTTTGTCTCCTGGGGTGGGGCAGGTGGGGTGTGTAGCCGGATTCCCAGGAAGTAAACAGCTGCCACAGTGCCCTTCTCCTAAGAAAGGGTTGCCATTTGAAGGGGATCAGGCCTGATTTGGACACCACTCTCTCTCTCTCTCTCTCTCTCTCTCTCTCTCTCTCTCTCTCTCTCACACACACACACACACACACACACACACACACACACGCACGCACACAGGCTCAGAGGAAGGAAGCATCCTCCACAAATTTGTAAAATGGATTGTGAGCTCAGGGGATGGGGCTGTCACCAGAATATGTGCAGTATGATAAAATTAAAATGTAAACATTTATTACAGTAAAAGCAACATTGCCATGAAGTCCCCCGAAAATACCCCCTCTACACACACACACACTCACACACTAACCCTAATGCTCGTGACACTGTCTGAAACTGTTCTGGAAGTCTTCTTTTGTGAGTGGCTGCCTCGGTGTTTCGATAAAATAAAAATATCACAGGGAGTCCTCATCCACCTTGTTCACCGAATCTGGCACTGTGAAACTTCTGGCTTTTCTCCAAAGTCAAAAGGACCGTGAAAGATCAACGTACTG